GAAAGCATTTTGGCGGTCCAGTCTACATGAAACCACCTCTCACCTCTGTTTTCTTTCAGAGGCTTGCCTCTACCCACATTCCATCTAAATAATGCTGTCCTGAGGGCTTCTGTGGAGGGAAAATGGCTCGAAAAACACTTACAAATGCGAGAAAATGAATCGATTTGAACGCATCCAAACATGAACAGATAATCTAGGTCACGTGACCCCAAAGTCTGAACCCATGGTGTCTCAAAACCGCAAATATTGTAAGGGATACTTCATATAACGACAAACAAGGCGAGCTTAAGGTTTGGATGGCCAAATTATAAGGTTTTTTGCCTGCTGGTAAAGGGTTAATAAATAAATTTTGTGTTGACTTGTGTCTGTTTGGTAATAGATCGCAGGTGACATCAAAATGCAAAGAGAACAAAAGTTAGTGGTGCAGCTGAATGTGTCACTGACATACTTCACGTGTTTTGTCATCCTCTGTGATCTATTGCTGTACAGACCAAAGGTAACATGGAATCTATTTGGTTTTTATGACCACAAAGCAAAAATCTGTTAACCCTTGACACCCTAACTCCATACTGTTCTGTATACATTTTTTAAAATGTGACAAGGAGAGTTTGTTGAACAATTTAGAGCTTTTTCTAGTTGGCGATCATATCCTTTATTCTCCTGACCTTAATGTGTGACCCAGGGGTGTTATTGTAAGGAGTAAATAGCTGCTGATCATTCTTAGGCGTTCAAGGGTTATCGATGACATCATCAATGTGTTTGTTCTAAAATAGATCATAAGTAAGAACCAATCAGAATGAAAGTATAATTAATTCATATGTGTTTTGCTTCCTTGCAGCTGAGTTCTAGAATATTCTGAATTCCAGTTGAGTTCCATTCCATCAGCTGCAGGTGTTCTGATACCTGACTTAACAATAAGAACAGGTTTCTTTTGGATAAAACAGTTATTTTCCTAGTAGCTGGCTAAATTTCATGCTGTCTACCAGATTAGTCATGCCAAGTAGATTGGTGTGAACACAATCAGCCACACATCAAGTAGGTAGTGATTTATCTGGTGGATGGTTGTATTGATTCAATTGAGCAACAACAAGTACCTGAGAGTTTAATACAACTGCTGTTATCATCTCTGAGGAGAAGCAACTTGAAAAGTGAGTGTTTATCTTACAGGTATTGACATCAATGAACAAGTAAAATAATTATTAACATTATTATCCTCTGTCAAACTAATACTGATTAACAATAGACAGTATCACTATTGTTAATCAGTATTAGTTTGACAGAGGATAATAATGTTAATAGTGGGACATTGTGCTAGAGTAAACTAAAGGTACAATAGACAATTTTGAGAATAATAACAAAACCAGATAAGAGCAAATGGTTGAATAGACCGAGTGAAAATTGAAAAATGTGGGACATGGGCGGAAAATTGAAAAGCTTTATATTTTACCCACAGATACGTAACGGTGAACTTAGAAACGTTGTTGGTAAGATTTTTTTCCCAAGCTCGCTTCCTTTTCTTAGAAAATTCATGAATACTGAAACAGGTGTCAGTAGGGCTCCCTGAAATGGGGGAAATCAGTGCCCGAAGTAGAGGCAAATGAACTTTGCTCATGTAAATCACAAAAGAAAGCAAGCTCATATTAATTGATAAATTTGTATAGGAGGGATTGAGGTGTGGCTTAAGTCTAAAACTGGACCATTCA